TCTCTCTCTCTCTCTCTCTCTCTTTCTCTTTCTGTCTTATACAGTGTAACAAACAGCCAGCACAGAGAACAGCAGGTAGAGAAGACAAACTGCTGGCTAGTACAGAAAACACTGGTACAGAAAAACAAGTTGCAGGTGTTGTCTTCGGCCTGCAAAGGAAGGTTCACAGGACTCATTCAAGGTCATGCAGCTTGTCGAGTATCATCATTAACTTGCCCAGCCTATTTTCCCATCCTATACAATCTATTTACTCATGCAGCTGTTGAATATCATCATTGACTTCTATCCCTTCGGCCCATCCTGTATAGCAATTGTCTACAAGGTTAAAGCAGAACATTTGTGCCCTCGGTGTCATATTTGATCCCAGGCTGAGTTTCCAATTATAAATTTATGTTGTTGCCAAAACTGCCTGTTACCACCTCTGTAAGATCACCTGTCTCTGCTTCAAGCCTTCTGTTGAAATGCCCTACTTGTACCTTTGTTGCTACTAGACTTGCCTAGTTTGAGACTGTACTGGTAAGCCTCTTGCATTCTGCCCTCCATAAACCTGGCCATCTTGGACTCTGCTGCTCATATCCCAAGTCCAAATCAGCATCAAATTCTGTTCATACATCAACTTCCGCTTGCTTGTGTCAACTAGTTGATGGTTAAGTTGTGTCTATTTTGAAAAAAATTTCTTGTTTTCAAATCCCTTGAGGTTTTGACCCCTCTGTCTATAATAACCTCCTACCCTACATGTCACTAGTTCTGCTCCCCTAATTTTGCTCTCTTTAAGTGTCCACGATATTAATCACACCACCATTGGTGGCCTTAGAATTCTGGAGCCTAGGTGACTCAACTTTTCTCTAAATCTCGTTGACTCTACTTCATTTTCTTCCTTTTTTAAGGTCTTCCTTCAAACCTGTCTCTTTGGCTATCTGTCCTGTATCTCCTAATGTGTACTTACTGTCATAATTTCTTTTGTGGTTCTTCTATGCTTGGAACATTTTTCTAAAATTTAAAAGTGTTGTATAAAGACAATGTTTTAACTGACTGATCTGACATTAAATGTTTGTTGAGATCCAATACATAACCGTACATATTTTTATCTCAGGCATTTGTGAGGAATAGACAAGAAAGTTGAGTTGAGGTAGAAAATTACCTATGGTTGTATCGAATAAGTGAGCAGGCTTGGATGAGCCACATGGTCTACTTTTTTATTTTTGTTTCTTTCTGCTTGTTGTGTTGCTCAGTTTGCATTCTTAATCATTTTTCTTTGTTTCCTTTTCAGTTTTGATTTTTGAGGAAGTATGACAGACCAAAGAGGAGATAGAGACATTCGACCCTCTCAACAGACAGACATCACTGAGAGGACAGTGGTCTCGGAGGGCAATTTATTGTTGGAAAGCAATGATGATTTGGCTGCCAAACAACATGAGCAGCCAGCAGCAGAATTATGCAATCAAGCAGCTTCTGAAGTTTGTGTGATAAAGCAGAAAGATTCTACAGTTCAGCATGAGCTTGGTGTTCCATCTCTACAGAGCACTGCAAGTGAAATTAGTGGTAATGTGCTGCCTTGTGTAAGTCCGGTAACACCTGTGTCTCAAGGAAATTTGAATGCTGTTAAATCAAGTGAGGTCAGTACTTCTCAGAAGTGTGACATTACATCTGCTGCTCCTGCCTTGGTCACTGGTGATCAGGAAATGGAAGTTTCAGTGTCTGCTCAGCTGGAGATGTTATCATTTAAAAGATCACAGTTGAAATACCAGGAAACAGAATATGCACAAGACCAACACTTCGGCCAGGAAAATAACTTCCCACAGGTTGATGTTACATTCCAAGACAATGCAGCTGACGTGGAAGATAGTGAAGGTGATGAAAGTTCTTCATCTGAAAACTCTTCATCGGACAGGTGAGCGTTCCAGGACAGGAGTTGCTAATACTAAACTTTTTGACAAATTTACAGATGGTATAACACGAGAATAGCTAGTTTATCTCAACAAAGAAATTGAAATTACATGTGATTGCCAAAAATAGTTTTTTTTTCTTTGTTAGTTAGATAGTTCACTTCAATAGGGTACCTATTGAAAGAAATGCCCTAACATGACACTCTGCAAAAGTTTTCCTTTCATATTCAGGGAGATGTATACCCCCTTAGTCAATTTAAAGGAAAACTTGAAAATTCTTTCCACAGAGGCTTTCATAAGCTGAGTGCTCCACTATGTACAGAGCAAGATTTCAAAACAGGTATGAGATAAATAACTATGTTTTTGTGCTGTTTGTTGAGTGATAAATATGAACAATGAAAGGCAAATTGTTATGCTGGGTGTACAGCATATGCCAGGTGACTGATTGATTTTGCTTGATCCTGTTTATTCATTCCCCATCGCCTGCTGGCTTAGAGATCGAAGTTCCAACAACAGTGTTGAGCTCAAGATGGTGAAATGAGGAAAGGAGTTATTTTTGGTATTACACAACCACTCCAACAGCTGCTTGCATTTTTTAATACCTCTAGTAAATGTATGCAAAATGCTCAAATTTACTTCACCTAAGTATAACAGATGAAAGAATGAGATATGAGAAGGGATGATGAAATAAGAGAAGTGGGGAGTGAAAAATGATGTGGTGAGGTGGAGTGATTCAGTAAGGGAATCTGAGTGTGAGGCCTTGAAGACTGAAGGAAAGGTGGATATAAAAGTGGCCATCATCAAACAATTCAGACTGGTGGTATGGTGTATCACTACCATACGCGTAGAAGCTGAGTGTGTGACCTTCAATAGGGGATAGCATGTTGGTGAGGAACCAAGAAGGGACCATAAGTGGTGCTAGAAAAGTTACTATTATTGGTTGTGATAGGAAATGTGGCAGTCCTCTCAAATGTGGGCAATCTCACTGAGCTGGAGCACAGAGGAGGGACATTGCAGAACCATGGGGAGATGTACCATTTATGAATCACAGAAGGTAGGTCTGCAGGTACAACAAGTAATTAGGAAGGCAAATGGAATTTTGTCCTTCATTGCTAAAGGGATCGAAATTAAAAGCAGAGAGGTTATGTTGCAGCTGTACAAGGTGCTGGTGAGGCCACACTTGGAGTACTGTGTGCAGTTTTGGTCTCCTTACTTGAGAAAGGATGTACTGGCTCTGGAGGGGGTGCAGAGGAGGTTCGCTAGGTCAATTCCAGGTTAACAGGGTTGGCTTACGACGTGAGATTGAGTAAACTGGGACTATAGTCATCAGAATTTAGAAGAATGAAGGCTGGCATCTTATAGAAACATACAATTACGAAGGGAATAGATAAGATAGAAGCAGGGAGGATAGTTCCACCGGCGGGTGAAACTAGAACGAGGGGGCATAGCCTCAAAATAAGGGGGGGAGCAGATTTCAAACTGAGTTGAGGAGGAACATCTTCACCCAAAGGGCTGTGAATCTGTGGAATTCCCTGCCCATGGAAGCAGCTGAGGCTACCGGGTTGGATGTTTTTAACACAAAGATTTTTGAACAGTAAACGCATTAAGGGTTACAGTAAGCACTACTGTTAATGTGATGTATATCAATGATCACAAGGTTCTCGATGCAATGCCACAAGTCAAAATACAGAGCTCATGGAATGACAAGAGCAATAGTAAACTGATATTAAGTTGGCGGACTGGAAGTAGAAAGTACTGGTTAATGAGTGTTTTTCGTGGCTGGAGGGAATGATCTTAGTCAGCTTATCCAGTGTTGAGACTGTTGCTTTTCCCGATGGACATTAATGATGTAGATCTTGAAGTAAAGAGCACAATTTTAGAACAAAAAAATTGTGGATGTTATGAAATTTGCAAGTATTGTAAATTAGAGGAAGCACACCAAAGCTCCTGAGACAGCAGCTTCCAAATTCATGACCCATCCAGAAAGACTAGGGAAGCAGATACGTGGGAGCACCACCTGCAAGCTTCTCTCCACTCCATTGCACTATTCTGATGTGGAAATATATCGCTGGGTCAAAATTCTGGACTTTGCTCCCTGATAGCATTGTGAGAGTAGCAAATGGAGTAGAACCGTTCAAGAAGGCAGTTTGCCATCTCCTCACAGGTTGCTCGGGATTGCAATAAATGTTAGCCCAAAAGTTAGTGCCAACTTCAAAAAGACATGGACATGACAGACTGGGTGAACTAGTGACAGATTAAGCTTAATGCAGAGAAGATAATGAAATTGAGAAGCAGTATACAATGGCTGTTCAATTTTTGGAAGAGAATGCTTGTAGGAGATCTGATGGTGGTAGTATTCAAAATCCATGGTGGGTCTGGATAGAGTAGGTAGAGAGAAACTGTTCCTTCTCATGAAAAGATGAAGAATGTCAAAGTACAGATTCAAAGTAACTGGCAAAAGAAGCAAAGGCATTATGAGAAAAGCCTTTCACGCAGTGCATGGTTACGGTCTTGAATGTGCTGCCTGAGAGAGGAGGACGCAGGCTCAATCCATGCATTTAAGGGGGAATTAGACTGTTCATTGAAAAGGAACAGTGCAGGATTGCTGGGAGAAGGTATGGGACATACATAAAGCTATAAATTAATTAGTGGTAGGGTGGCTGGTGGTCAGTTAAACAGAAGTTTAATAATTGAAATTTTCTGTCTGTCTGCCCCTCTTCTGCGGTTACGTTCATTCCCGGGTGTCCTTGGCGACGGATCATGCAGTGTCCGTTGTTGAAGATATTAATTTAGTCACATACCGGAGCTTTAGACTTTGAGGTAAACATGCTTTATTCGTGATATCATGGGGAGCCAACGCTGACAAAAGGTCAGGCCCGTAGTCTCCGATGAGTACAAAAACAAGGCAATACTCCTGAAACACACACTTGCAGCAATGCGCCGGCATCTCCAGGCACTACAATCAAGCCTACCCCAGCTCAGAGCCTCCCTCTCCCAGACCTGCAAAGGACCTCTCCTGTTTTTTATTCTACGTAGGATCCACAACCTGAACTCCCAATTCTACTCAGCTTTATTGGACACTAAAAACCGTAAGTACAGTAAACTTACTGGTGCCTACCACCCAAAACGGGCTTCCTCCACCCCCCAAATCCCCAGCCGTACCCAGGACCTTCCCCACAATGGGTCCGCCGCCATTGGCCATGAGGCCACTATCGGAGAACCCACAGATGACGTCACATCCGCCACCGCCGGGTTCCCCACTTCCGGGACAGCAAGCACCATCGCTGCCGTTGCCACCGACACTGAAGTCGCGACCACCCTCACCGCTACTGCCGCCGCCTACCCCGCTCCTCCTACCTCCGACGCCGGTCCGCCCATCACCGACGCGGACGCAACTCCGCCCACCGCCGACACCGGCACAACTCCGCCCACAGCCGACGCCGACGCCGACGCAGCTCCGCCCACCACCTCCACAGCCAGCAGCTCCAGAGGAGACAGCAGCACCCAGCCCTGCCGAGTCTTCACCATCCCCCCAGACCTACCCCTTACTGAGGACGAACGGTCAGTCCTCAGTAAAGGGCTCACCTTTGTCCCCCTCCACCCACAGATCAACGAATACCGCTCACGCTTGGACATAGAGCAGTTTTTCCGCCGCCTCCGCCTCCACGCTTACTTCTTTAACCGTGAACCTAACCCTCCCTCTACTGACCCCTTCTCCCGCTTCCAACACACCCCCTCCTCCTGGACACCACCCCAAGGCCTCCTATCCTCCCTCGACCTCTTCATCTCCAACTGCCGTCGAGACATCAATCGCCTCAACCTCTCCACCCCTCTCACCCACTCCAACCTCTCCCCCGCAGAACGTGCAGCCCTCCGCTCCCTCCGCTCCAATCCCAACCTCACCATAAAACCCGCGGACAAGGGAGGTGCAGTTGTAGTATGGCGCACTGACCTCTACATCGCCGAGGCCGGACGCCAACTCTCCGACACCTCCTCCTACCGCCCCCTTGATCATGACCCCACCCCTGAGCACCAAACCATCATCTCGCAAACCATCCACAACCTCATCACCTCAGGTGACCTCCCACCCCCGGCCTCCGACCTCATCGTTCCCCAACCTCGCACTGCCCGCTTCTATCTCCTTCCCAAAATCCACAAACCTGAATGCCCTGGTCGACCCATTGTCTCCGCCTGCTCCTGCCCCACCGAACTGATCTCCAACTATCTCGACTCCATTTTCTCCCCCTTGGTCCAGGAACTCCCTACCTATGTCCGTGACACCACCCACGCCTTCCACCTCCTCCAGAACTTCCAATTCCCCGGTCCCCAACACCTCATCTTTACCATGGACGTCCAGTCCCTCTACACCTGCATTCCCCATGCAGATGGCCTTAAGGCCCTCCGCTTCTTCCTGTCCCGCAGGCCCGACCAGTCCCCCTCCACTGACACCCTCATCCGCTTAGCCGAACTCGTCCTCACACTCAACAACTTCTCTTTCAATTCCTCCCACTTCCTACAGACAAAGGGGGTAGCCATGGGTACCCGCATGGGCCCAAGCTACGCCTGCCTCTTTGTAGGTTACGTGGAACAATCCCTCTTCCGTACCTACACCGGCCCTAAACCCCACCTCTTCCTCCGTTACATTGATGACTGTATCGGCGCCGCCTCGTGCTCCCACGAGGAGCTCGAACAGTTCATACACTTCACTAACACCTTCCACCCCAACCTTAAATTTACCTGGACCATCTCTAACACCTCTCTCCCCTTCCTGGACCTCTCTGTCTCCATATCGGGCAACCACCTCGAAACCGATATTCATTTCAAGCCCACCGACTCCACAGCTACCTAGAATACTCCTCCTCCCACCCACCTTCCTGCAAAAATGCTATCCCCTATTCCCAATTCCTTCGCCTCCGCCGCATCTGCTCCCAGGATGAGGCATTCCACTCCCGTACATCTCAGTTGTCCTCGTTTTTCAAGGACCGTAACTTCCCCTCCTCGGTGG